TGTGTCTGTAGCAAGAGATGAGACTGCACTACAGGAGACAGGGGTTTTCAGAACCTAGTGCTAAAACTGAAAGCTGTGGACTGACCCATGCGGCATCTCCAGATGTGCAGCAACCAGGTAGTTGTGTTGCAATATCAAATGCAGAGCAAGTGTAAAGCATTTAAAAAAAAATCAACCTGAAGTTCAGCAAACCTCTAGAGCTAAATCTCCCTTGCAGGAACTGTACCAGAAACAGGAACTAGAGTACATGATAGCACAAGGGAGTAGACAAGCCCAGAATGCAGAGCATTTCACAGAGAACCGGTTTAGAGAACCAGCCAGTGACTAGGAACTGAAGGGAAGCCTGTCGTCAATTAAAAGAGACTTCAGTACAGCACCCGGCTGCATGTGGACACTGTGTCTGAGTCTGGATCAAAACACAATTAAGTAATATTTTTGAGATAGGAGAATTTGGTTATAGTCTAATATATGAGGTGTAGAAAATCATCAACGATTTTATTCATTTTGAGTAGCAGTGGTATCATGGTTGCACAGAAGGATTTCCTTCGGAAGTAGATGCATAGTGAAGTCTGAGAGGGTGGCATAACATGACTATGATTTTTAAAAATTACTTTAGCAAATAAAAGACAAAAGATACAAGGAATAAAAAGTCTATGTGATATACCATTTTGTCTAAATAAGCAAAGGGTGAGGCAGTTCAGTGGTTCAAAGTGACTTCTGTGCGACCCTGACAATCCAGGTTCAGTCCCTGGAACCCAGAGTGGAAGGAGATAACCAACTCGTAGGAGTGTCCTCTGACCTCTGGACACTGACATGCTGCTGATGTCCCCTCCCCCACCTCTTTCTGACACTTCCTCCCCTTCTCTCTTTCTCTCTGTGTGTCCCCTGTATCTCTCTCTTTCTTGCTGTCGCTTTATCTCTCTCTCTCTCACACACACACTTAACAAAATTTTAAAATGAAAAGGGGTAAGAATATGTTTTCCCTTTTTTGTATGTTTCCAGAGACTTGAGGAAATTATGAGTCTAAACGGTTGCTAGGCATGGGGGATGGGGTGAGAACAAAACTCCTAATGTAAAATTTTCATATTCCTGTAACTTTTATCCACTTGAACATGTAGCTGGCTTGGATGCTGTTTGTTCTTCCGTAGTTTACATATTTGAAAGATGATGAGGCCTTCAGCAGATGAAGCCAAGGAGAAACTGAGCAGGTCCCAGGGAGGACACTATCCTTTGGGGAACTGAAAGTAGTTATTACAGGAACTTGACTTAGCTCTTGAGAGGTGACTGTTACACAGAGAGCAAGCCAGCCTCCTAGCCTGGCTTGCTGCTTCACCACGTGATCTCTCCCTCTTGCGCACCTTCCCACCATCAAGATGCCAATCTCCGTGAGGTCCTCCCAGAGCTGAGCCAATACTGACGCCATGACTTTGAGCCTCCAAACTGTCCTAGATAAAACTCTTTTCTTTACGTTACTTCATCTGAGTATCATTACAGTAAAATGGACTAGGGCCTGGGAGATAGCTCACTGGGTAAATTACCACCAAGCCAAAAGACCTGAGTTGGATCGCTGGGACTCACGTGGTGGAAGGAGAGAACTGACTCCAACAAGCCGTCCTCTGATCTGCATGTCGGCACTCTGTACCAAAAAAATAAGTGAATAAAATTGAAAACAACACCCAAAAGAAAATGAAGTTAATATTACTTATGTGTTTTTTTAAATAAATAACTCAATAAAGTATTGACTATCTGCTTTAGGCAAAAGCCCTCAAGGATTTTAATTTTGACTAGTTGTTTAACAGATTATTTCAGTTTCTGTTCTGTGGAAACTGTAAAGTATCTCCACAGAGAGCTTTATTGTATTTCTGTTTTTTTCCCCCTTGTGTTGTTTATTGCTAAATGTAGTCGTTTATGATGCTGATTTTGTATTTTAACATAACGAAAAAACCCATTAAGAAGTTTAAAAAAAAATCAGGAATGAGTCCCTTACTCACAAACAGAAAAAGGATTAGGTGGACCTTTACAGACTCTTTCGTGTCTGCACTTTAATAAATTAAAAAATACACACACACACACACACACACACACACACACACACACACACACACACCCAGTGTTTTACAGAGCTACTCACAGAAATGGGCATGATGGAATGTATGTATAACACTAGTACTTGGGCAATAGAGACAAGGAGGATGAGAAGTTTGAGGCCAGCCTGGGCTACATAGAGAGTTCCAGGTCAGCCTAGATTATATCAGACCTCATGTCAAAGAAAACAAAGCCAAGCAAGACAAAGCAAGGCAGTACAAGTTGGTCTCAGCTCTAGGGACTGCCACTGAATGGAGGACACAGAACTGCAGGCTGGTGCTCTGGGAGCCTTCCCCCAAGGCCTTGCATAGTAGATATGGCCCTCAGCCTCAGGTAATCCTCTCTCCATTATACAGGAATGCATTTTGTAAGTTGTTAGTAGCGGTTGATAGTAAAGACATTAAATTCATGTAACATACTTTACAGTGCAAGTCTAGGGCTGTGTGTGTGTGTGGGGGGGGGGCTGGAGGGAGCTTCTTCTTACTCTAAATTGCTAAACATGTGCCTTGGGACCAGTCATTCTCCTTGAGTCTCTTTTGTCTATAACTTGAGTAGTCCTCATCCCATGCTGCTGTGGAACTTCACACACTGAACAAGTTAGAGATTTAGATTAAATGCATCTAAGGCACAAAGGTGAGTGACAGGGCCAGGAAGGGCTGATGCAGCAAAAAATGCACAGGGCTTTCAGAAATCACCAAGTCTGTGAGCTGACTTCCCTCTGTGGGAAAGCTTTGGTTTTGAAAGTGTCTAGATAAATGTCACTCTTCAATGGCTGAGTGTGCTGGTGTGTGACTTGGTACATTGGTCATAAACAACATGGCTGGAACTTAACACACTCTGACAATTCACATTCAAAGTCCCCCTTTCCTCCAGGGGAACAGAGAAAGGATGGAATATTGAGGTCTACTCAGCTCTATACACATAGTGGGCAAGAAACATTGCTGAAAGAAGTATGTGTTTCCTAAATGGAAGGTTTTGAAAGTTTGAAGGTCAAAGTCAGAATGATTGCCAAGCTTTGCATATATTACTGACACAACTTCTTTGATATCATTAACAGAGGGCATGCTATGTTGCCCAGGCTGGCCCCATACTTAGTAATCTTCCTAACTCAGCCTCCTGAGTGCTAGAATGACAAGCATGCACCACTTGGTTTTTTTTTTTTTTTTTTTTTTTTTTTTTGGCTTTGGGTGTTTTTTTAATTTTAATTTTAATTTATTTATTTATTTATTTATTTTTTGAATGCCGAATGCCATTTATTGAAGGAGGGAGGAGGCCTTAAATACAGGCTTACAGCACAATGGAAGAATCCCAGAGGGCAGAAGTTTGCTACCAATGTTTTACAATCTTGCATCTAAGCTGTTAATACCCATTATGCAGGATACACAGACAAGGAACTTCCCTTAAGCATTCAGGAAGGTGGAACCCGGCAGGAAATTAGCATAGGGAGGATATCGAGGTCAAGGTCAGCAAGCAAGGCAACAGTTACCCAAAAGGGGGGCCAGGACCCTACAGGTCCCCCTTTTACTAAAAAATGAGCTTCTGACTTAGGTTGCGTGGGAGGTCAGCAGGTCACCTTACCCATCATGGAGACACCTGCCCAGGTCACACAGGCGCTCTGTCTTAGGTTGATGAGCACCCCCCAGGAATTACCTGTCTCTGAATAGTCATTATCATACAGGCTCAATTGTGTGTGAGCTGCAGAGTTAACTGCTGCCAAAGATCTCAAAGTGGCGCTTGGCTTGCAATCTGTGTGTTCAACACAGAAAAGACCAACAGAAGTCCTAACCCACCCATAGCCAATAGGCTAAAGGCAACTGAGACATTCCCTTCCTTAACGAGCCTTACTGCAAATTGGAGTCCTTGTAAGATGGTATCCCAAAAGCAAATGGAACTTGAGTTTATAAATTTATAACTTTCAAAGCCATTTGAAATGTATATAACTATTGAATTAAATTTATCATGCCCAGTAGAATGAAAGATTAACTAACTGTGGTAGCTACTTTTGCTGCCAGGGTTTCCACTGTGCTAGCTGTAGTAACCAATTATGAAATGGCAATCCCAGAAACAGTAGCAGCGGTGGCTGCCACTGCTATAACAGCAACAATGGCAGCAGCGATGTCAAATTCTCTTCCAGAGCGTGTGGGCATCCACTGGTATGGACACAACTCCAGGAACATGAACCATGCACCACTTGTAATGGTGTCTTGATAATTTCCTTGCCTCATAATACCATTATTGACAAGGAAAGTTAGGTATAATGAGCTTATAGATTATATTCTAAAGTATATTAGTCCAAGGATGATAACTGGGCTCTTAAGTGGTATCGAAGTAATCTATAAATATAAAGATAAGGAATATAAATTCACAGCTTTATTTATTTATTTATCATTTGTTTGTTTGTTTAGCCAGGCAAGGTTTCTCTGTGTAGACTGTCCTGGGGCTTGCTCTGTAGACCAGCCTGGCCTTAAAGTCAGAGATCCTCCTGCCTCTGCCTCCCAGCAGCTGAGATTAAAGGTGTGCACTACCACGCCTGGCTTCATTACTTTAGCTCCTATTCCAGTGCCTGGCTCAAAGCACGTGTTTCAAGAACATTAGTCACAGGCTTGATTGATGGAGATTGAGCTGAGTGCACGAATACATGAGTGACATGTTTATATTTTTGTTCCCTGGTAACCAGCTGGGTTTGTACATGGACCATCTCAGGCTATTTTATCTGAGATATTAGAAGACTCTCTCCTCTTGTCATTATTAACACTTGTCTTTCTCTGAAATACTGCTTCCTCTTTGTTGATTTCATGTGATAATCATCAGAGTGCCTGCAGGATGTGTCTAGTGTGACATGACACAGAACAGGAACATTCTCTGATGTGACTAGATTAGCAGTACTAACTGGGGAATCACTGGTGGTCAGACACCCTGGGAAGTAGGCTTCCCCTCAGTGGGTGTGGTCAGCACTCATGGTTCTGGGGTAGGCAGAAGTTAGAGGAAGTAGCATTTTAACTGGAGAGCTAAAGCTGAGACTACACAGAGCTGCCTTTGATTTTCCCTGCCAAGTACTAATGTTTTCACCTCTTACTTTCAACTGTGTCCTGCTGCTGCTGCTACTACTACTTACAAGTAAGTACTGGCTGGTACTTCTCAGTTGGAGAAAGATTATTTCACAGAGGGCTAGACAGAGATACAGGATAGGAGTAGTGATGCTATTTGTAATAGCTTATGTTCGGAAGCAACCTAAATGTCAACAGTAGGAGACTGGGTAAGTAAATTTGACATATCCATGATACAAGCAGGGAGCCTAATTGAACAACCTGATATAGATGCTGGCAATCACAATGCTACAGAGAAACTCAAGGTGCACAGTTAATGTGTGCAAGCATTGCCATGGAACAGAAGTGTGTGCACATTTTTTAGTGTTTAGGCTCCAGGATTGGGGCCTGGGGGATGGGAAGAGTTGGTAGAGGGAATCCAGCTTCCATGTACCTTTCATGTGGTTTGAATAGATTATCATTTAGATGTTTGTGTTATTAGAAAGGAATTTATTTTAAACATCAATATAACATATGAGGAGTTTCAAATATGCAAGCTACTAGTTTTGTTTTGTCAGAGCTTTTATTCACGAGAGAGAGAGAGAGAGAGAGAGAGAGAGAGAGAGAGAGAGAGAGAGAACAGAGACAGAGACCAGAGACAGAGGCAGAGACAGAATATGTTACTTTTCCTTTGCTGATGAACAGACAGCTAGCACAGACGTATGGGACATTTTCCTGGCCAACAATTCCCAATTTTCTGAGTATTGACTCCATTAGCCCAGGTTTTTTATCTTCAAAAAACTTCACAATTCTTTGAGGGCTCAAAAATGTGTGTGTGTCGGGGAGTCAATAGCCCATAACACATGGGAACTGAGAGAAATGCAAGTTCCCATGTTCTACCTCAGACCAATGGAGGCAGACATTTTAGGGAAGAAGCACAGGTAGCCCAGGCTGGCCTCGAACTCACTGCAGATCTGCCACAGATTCCTTAGTACAGGGATTAAAGGCATAAGTCATCACTTTCTGGTCTGTCAATTTGGTTTTTGAGAGATGATTTCATCACTCAGGCTAGCCTAGAACTTGCTCTATAGTTCAGTCTGTTCTCTAATTCAGATCTTCCTGTCTCCACCTGCCAAGCTCCCGGATTAGAGGCATGTGCAATCATAGTAAGTGTTTAAACAGGACTCTCTTCTGCTGCTTCTGCTTCCTCGAAGGTCAGAGAATCATTGGCACAGTCAATCCCCCTTCCAACAGGGCAGTCATAGTTTCCTCTTTTATTCTGTGAGGCATTACCAACAGAAATGGACCCTCTTCCTCACCATCTTGCCCTCCTTTCCTCTCTGTGTAGGGTCTTTGGAAGATAAATTTGAAGTCGAGGTCGGTAAGAATGCCTATCTGCCTTGCAACTACACTCTACCTAGTCCTGGGACACCTGTACCTGTATGCTGGGGCAAGGGACCCTGTCCTTGGTCCCAGTGTACCAGTGAGGTGCTCAGCACTGATGAAAGAAAGGTGACATATCAGAAATCCAGAAGATACCAGCTAAAGGGAAATTTCCTCAAAGGAGTTGTGTCCCTGACCATAGAGAATGTGACTCTAGAAGACCATGGGACCTACTGCTGCAGGGTACAATTTTATGGTCTAGGAAATGATCAAAAATTAAACCTGGAATTAGTCATCATACCAGGTGAGTAGACCTTTCCATGTCCTCTTTGTCTGTAAGAATCACCTGTGGGCCATGATAGCATAATAAACATGTGGATTATTATCACCTCTGACTTCCCTAGTCCTGGTGGTGGATAGGAAGAACTGGGATGAAGAGACCTCACCTGTGAAGGCCAGTGATGTACCTTCCATGTGTTTCCATACTCAAGGATGCAGCCTAGAGAAGGGGAAGAAAGGCCTAGACCAGAGAGAGGTTCAAGACCCTGCCTGATTATTAGACCACATGAAAACTTTTTTATTATTATTTTTCATTTTAATTTTTTTGTATGATATATTTTGATCATATTCTTTCCCTTCCTCCAAATCTTACCAGATTCTCCCCACCTTCCTACCCGCACAACTTCATGTTCTTTCTATCTCTTAAACACACACACACACAAAATACACACACACACACACACACACACACACACACACACACACACACACACACAGAAACCAAAAGTCAAAACAGATAAGTAAAACCAATAATACGAAAAATATCAAACAAAAAGAGTGCATAAAGTCAAATGGAGTCTGTTTGTGTTAGCCAGCTACTGGGCAAAGGGCCTGCTTTTGAGTGTGGCTGGTATACCCAGTAACACTCCACTGGAGAAAACTGGATTTTCCCTTTCCCAGCTGGTATCAATTGCAAATGGGTTCTTAGTTGAGGGTGGGACTCTGTGTCCACTTCCTCTCTCAGTGCTGGAATTTTGTCTGGTTTGAGTCTGTGCATGTCCTGTGAGCACTGTCATTGTCTCTGTGAGCTCATCTGTGCAGTGGTCCTGTTTAGTCTGGAAGACTGTTTCCTTGGAGCCATCCACCACCTCTGACTCTTACAATCTTTCCACCTCCTTTTGGTGCCTGGGCCACACCTACAAGCCAGAGACATTACCATATCTGGAGATGGATTCTGAATTTTTTTTTTCACAAAAATCTACTTCAGGTAAGCCAGGAATATGGACCACTGGGTTGTATGTGTGTGTGTTAAGAAGGTATATATGTGCATGTTCTTGTGTTTTAATGTTTATACTGGACAGGGTTAAGTGTATAGCTCAGCAAAAAAGCCCAAGTTTGACTCCCCAGCACCACACAAATCAAAAGATTTTATAGCACAAACTTTGTGGTCATATGGAGCCGAGTTCAACTCAACTCTCCTTACTAATTGTATAATATTGGAACATTATTTCAAATGTGTGGGCTCTTCAGCTATAAAATATAGTTAACTACCACATAGGCCACTGAAAGGATTCTACAAGGTGATGTTTATGCACAGCTTTGATGTGACCTCTTGTGCGGCTGTTAGTTCCATCACTAATTAGGTTGTAGCAATGACAACCACATCCTGCTGAAGTTACACATCTGAAGTGTGTGCTATCCTCTCTGTGACTGTGTCCATGTAGGTTCGAAGTCAAGGCCATGTGTCTCGTCATCTCTCATCTTTCATGTGTTCTCAGCTGCCCGTGGATTCCCTGACATAAAGCCTCCCTGGGCAGCTGAGAGGGCTCAGTGGGTAAACTCACTTACTGCCAAGTCTGATTACCTGAGTTTTGTCTTCACAACACGCATGGTGAAAGGAGAGAATGGATTCCTGAAAGTTGTTCTCTGACCTGTACATTCCCCCTCTCCAATAAATAAACGTGAAAAAGAAAATCCTGATCCTTAATATTCTTTTCTGACTCAAGCCAAGTTCACCCTGCCTGCGACTGCTCATGGAGACCCTGCTACAACTTCTCCAAGAACCCTAACCACCGAGGGAGATGGCTCCCGATGGAGACATGAGCACAGGGGTATGTGTTTAGCTTGTATATCAGTTCACAGAGTTTTGAACATGATAAATAACTAAGAAAGACACTTTTTACACTTGAGATATTATTTGAAGTGACTAAAGTGGTAGCCACACATATTGACCCCTGGTAGGATTCTGGTTAAGTCACAAACTAGCCAAGTGACCTGGGACAAGGCCTTTCAATTCCCTGGGACTCTGCTTCCTCTTCTATCCAAGGGGCATGGCAGAGAGGCCTCTGGATTTCCTGTCTCAGGAAAATGACTCCCCTCCCCCCCATGGAGAAGTTATTTTGGATATCCACAGATTTTGCCATACAAAGAAAGAGAAATATGCACTAATGCCATCATTCATATAGAAAGATAGTCATTTGGGGCTGGAGAGATGGTGCAGCTATTAAAGACTCACAGTCAACAAAGGCTTCATCTTACTTAAACAGTTTTAATTTTATTACATTTTAATAAATTAATCTCTGTGTGTGTGTGTGTGTGTGTGTGTGTGTGTGTGTGTGTGTGTGTGTGTGGTCATGTGCCATGGATGGCATGTGGAGGTAAGAGAGAAACTTGGAGGCACCTGCTCTCTCCTTGCAATGTATGAGACGAGGGGATTTGATTCAGGTCTCAAGGAAGTATCAATATATGTGGGGTCATTTTGCTGACCCTTACTTAAAATTTAATTAAAAAAAACTTTTAATTAGAAATGATTCTACTTTAGTTAAATATTAGGTAAACTTAGTGCAATGGGTTATTGTCTTCATTATTTTCTGATTTACTCTGGGCTGCCACTGTTGCTTATATTCAGGGCTAAGGGACTGATTAGGTGAAATCAGGGCCCTTTCTAGCTGAATGCAGACCATCAGCTTCCTCAGATTTCAGCCACATAAGGAGGAGCTGAATTCTTCCTAGAGTCAAGGTTGGAAGCTGTCCCAGAAGACAAACAGGACAGAAGAAGCTGACCTCAGGACACATTGATCAGGGAGGTTAATCTCATCTTACTTCTGGGTAGAGTTCTGCTCTTAAACTCTATTTTCTGTAATGGGAGAGGAAAACAGGTGAAGTCCCATCTCATCATGTCATACATCTCACAGGCTACGTCTTGTGGGATTTCAATAAGAAAATGGGTCCAGAATGGTTAGTCTAGTGTCTGGTCACAGTGTGTTCTCAGTGTACATTAGCACCTGTCACCAAGACTGTCAATAAGGCCATAAGGCAGAATGAGAAAATGATTCGGTCCTGCAGCAAGAGTAAACTGAGTCCTAAATCCAGCTCTTCTGGCCAATTCTGAACTCAGTAGTGTTGCCACAGTTCTCTGAAGTTTAGGTTTCATGTGTCACGGGCAGAGTTCTTCTCTAAAATCCTGTTTCTGGGTTGGTATGTTGGTGCTGTAGGAAAAGCCCCTTGCCACTAAAGCTGTCAACCTGAGGTGGATCCCAGGTCCCTAAATGGTGGAGAAGGAACTCCCACAGATTGTCCTCTGACCTCCATATGTACACCATAGCGTGCCTGTGGGTGCACACACACACATACACACACACACACACACACACACACTTGCACACACATATGCACATTAAGATAAAATAAAATAAAACTCTGTTTCTTCACCTGAAAATGGCAAAATAGTGGTATATATATATAATATATATATATAATATATATATATATATATAATTATTATTAAGATTGAGGGCTGGAGAGATGGCTCAGCCGTTAAAGGCTAGGCTCACAACCAAAAATATAAGATTGAAGTTAGGCATGATGGCACATGCCTTTAATTCCATCACTTGGGAGGCAGAGGCAGAACGATCTTTGTGAATTCCATGCCAACTTGATCTACATAGCAAGTTCCAGGACAGCCAGAGCTGTATAGAGAGGGACCCTGCCAAAAAACGAAATAAAACAAAACAAAACAAAAACCCACCCCCCACCACACCCTCCAAAAAACAACAAATCAAACCAAGAAATGATAAAAAGATTCATAGTGCTCAGAACCATCCCTGGCACCTCGGTGCCAAGTGGACAATAACTGTGGCATCTATATACATTCATGACCATGTTATCCCTCTTTCCTGCTGACTAAGCTCTAGTGCAGTCTTTGGTTCCCCAAGAAAAACAGGAAACAACATTACAGACATCTCTTGTTCTTGTTTACAGCAAAACAAAATGGGAAAAAAGTAAAGAAGTCAGAGCTGGAGTTATAGCTTAAGTGGCAGTCTGTCTAGCCATGAAAGCCCTGAATTTTATCCAAAATGCCACATAAATCAAGTATGATGGCACAGGCCTACAATTCCAGCATTCAGGAGGAAGAGGTAGGAGGATCGTTCAAGGTCACCCTGGCTATAGGTCGGGTTTGAGGGCAACCTGGAATACTTGAGACACAATCAAGAGAGAGAGAGAGAGAGAGAGAGAGAGAGAGAGAGAGAGAGAGAGAGAGAGAGAGAGAGAGAGAGAGAGAGAGAGAGACAACAAGTCAGTCTAGTCACTTAGACCAAGAACTGCAATGATGGAGAAGCAGAAGTGAGGTTTCCATTTCAAGTGTTGCATGTGGTGAAGATTCCTGTTTACTTCGAATTTCCGCCCTGTGGTTTTCAGGCTTTAAATTGCTTCCAGGTGATGAAAACAAACTGGAGTTGCTTTTTTTCCCCTAAATAATTTTAAGCCAAGACTGTCTTTGCAATATTTAAGTCATAGTCAGTCAGGCTCAGATTTGCTGAAAGCCTTTCTGCATCTTGAAGAGTTTCGATTTTGAGGGTTCAGGAATGTGACTGTGGCTTTTCGCAATCTGACTCAGGCAGCCGAATGAGTGGGTTTCCTCAGTTTTCAGGAAGCTGACAACTATTTGTCCTCACAATGAGTGTCCACAGGCTCTCCTCCTGCTCCTCTCTTGCTTGTGGCCCTGTCCCCTCTACCTGGTGTCAGTTAGTACAGCCATCAGCCAGATGAGCAGATGAAGAAGTAAATGCACTCAAAGGAGAGATGGTGGCCGGCAGATGAGCTATGTGACTCTCTTCATGTTGGGGACATTGCTGCGTGAAGTTGTGGAGAAACCTGAAGTTATGAAAGAGGCTTTAAAGCCGTGTGAGCTTACATGGGAAGGCATTCTCACTCATGAAGCAGGGTGTAACTCTCATTCTGTTTCTTCCGTTATCCAAAACGACTAACAGTGTCTACTCTTTAGAATGTTTGTTTTACTTTCATGTTTTAAATTTAATTTTAAGTTTTGATTGGCTTCTATTCATTGTATGTAGAGCAGGTTTCCTAAGGACAGTTTTGCTCAAGGAGGGTTGTCTGTTCTGACAATATTCATTCTTCTTCTCTCCCTCTTCTCCCCACCCACATTAGTTCATTCTTTCACAATATAATCTCACCTCTGCTTCATTCCCTATGTATAAGTGATTTTATCCGTCTGATCTCACTTTTCTGCTCTGAGGACAAAACGCTGACTAAAAGCACTTTGGAGGAGGAAGGATTTATTTCAGTTTGAAGTTCCCAAGGCATAGAGTTCATAATGCTCAGAAGGCATAGCAGTAGGGTCAGTAAATAGAGAGATCACTTTATCTGTACACTAGAGAGAGACAGAGAGACAGAGATAGACAGAGAGACAGAGACAGAGAGTGACATACTCCCTCTAGCAAGGCTTCACCTCCTAAAGGTTCCAATATTCTCCCCAAAATGTCACCACTGACTGGGGACCAAGCATGGGGGGAAATTTCTTACTCAAACCACAATAGCATTTATATGCAAACTAGGGTTCACTAAAAAGAGGAAATACAATATTTGTTTTTCTGAGTGTGTATGGGGGATTATTTTACCCATTTTTTGTTGTTTGTTCTTTTGGTATTTAGTTTTTGAAGTTTTCTTTTTTATATGTTCTAGATATTAATCCTCTGTGAATTATGTAGCTGGCAAAGATTTCTCTCTGTAGGCTGTCTCTTCATTATAGAAGCTTTCTAATTCGGGCAATCTCATCTGTCAGTTCTTGGTTTTACTACTGTGATTGGGGTCCTTTTGAGAAAAGTTTGTCTGTGCTGATATCGAGAAGTATTTCCCTGCAAGTTTTGAAGATTCACTTCTCATATTAAGTTCATCGATCCATGGTGAATTGGTTTCTGTACTCGTGAGAAGTAAATATCTAATTTTGTCTTTTCACATGTAGATATCCAGTTTTCACAGCACCATTCATTAAGGAGGCTATCCCCTGCCCCCTCTCCCGCCCAGTGCGTGTATTGGATGTGTTTGTCAAAAAAGCAGGTGTCTGTAGCTGTCTGGCTTTGTCTGTAGTCTCCATCCTATTCAGTTGAGCTACCTGTCTGTTTCATGTTAGTCCAGTGCTGCTTGTCTGGGTCTCTGTCAACAACTTGAGATCAGGATTGCTGTTCTATTAGAGGTCTTCATGAATTGGGATTTTTTCCATTTCTGAGAAGAATGGTCATTAGGATTTTGGTGGGGATTGCATGTGTACACTGTTTTTGGTAAGATAGATATTTTCGTATTACTTCTGCTGATCTATGAGAATTCTTTCTGCAGTCTGGTGTTTGTTTCATTTTTTTAAAAATGTTGATTATAGAGCTCCTTTACTTCCTTGGTAAGGTTTAGTTGTAGGTATTTTATCTTAGTTTTTTAAAAAGATTTCTTTATTTATATTTAGTTTATGTGTGTGAGTGCTTTGCTGGCATGTCTGTAAGTGCTTGCGTATCTGGCGTCCCCAGATCTAGACGAGGGCTTCAGATGCTTTGAACTAGAGTTATGGAAGATTGTAAGCCACCATGTGGGTGCTGGAAACCAAACCTGGGTCCTCTGCAAGAGCTGCAAGTGCTCTTAACCACTGAGTCATTTTTCCAGCCCCTGTATTATTATTATTATTATTATTATTATTATTATTATTATTTTAAAGACAGTGTCCTACTATGTAGCCCTGGCAGTCCTGGAACTCACAGTACAGACTGGGTTGGCCTCAAACCCACAGAGATCGCTCTACCTGTACCTTCCAAATGCTGGGGTTGAAGGTGTGTGCCACCGCACTGAACAGTATTTTATTTTTTGCAGCTATTGTTAGTGGATTGTTTTCCTGACTTCTTTCTCATCGTGTTTGTCATTGGCATATAAGAAAGCCGTGAGTTTTGTATAGTGATTATGTCCCTCCTGCTTGCTGAAAGCATCAGCTTTAAGAGGTTTCTGCTCCAGTTATTTCCTACATACACTATTGCGTCATCTGCAAATAGGAATACTTTGACTCCATTTTCTATTTGAATCACTTTTGTTTCTTTCTCTTTTCTTATTGTCCTACTAAGACTTCAAAAATTATATTGAATGAGAATGGAGAAAGTAAACATCCTTGTCTAGTTCCTGATTTTAGCTGAAAGTTGTTTGAGTTTCCCATTTATTATAATGTTGGCTACAGGCTTTGTTGTATATAAACTTTATATTGAAGTGTGTTCCTTCTCAAAAAGTTTTCTTCTGAAACAGAGCCACATGTACCCTAGGCTATTCTCAAGCTTGCTGTGTAGTCAGAAATGACCTTGAACTCCTGTCTCCTGAGTTCTGGGATCACAGGCATGGGCCATCCCGTTGGATTTATGCAGTGCTGGTGATCAGACAGGGGGTTTCTGTAAATGCTAGGCAGGTACTCCTGTGAGCTGAGCAGCTCCTTCTATGGCCCCTAGGTTGAGGCGTGTTCCTTCTATTCCTAGTTTCTTCTCAACTTCTTTTCTCATAAAGCCATGTTAAACTTTGTCACAGGCCCTTCCTGCATCTACTAAAATGACCACCTGATTTTGGTCCTTGGAACTTTTATGTACCGCCACATCTTTGCACAGCCCCAGCGACTTGACCTTCCTGAAGTGGAGAGGAAGTGAAGAAATGAGAAACACATAGACACACAGAAAAGCTGGGATTGGGTGGACTGGGTTCTTGGATGGAGGAGTCTCGGCACCTGGGAAGTTCAGCATGTTTATTACATAGAGTTGAGCAGGGAGGTGGGGTTACAAGTTTAGCTGGTCTCGGTAGGCACAAGCTCTGGAGGGGAACACTCTTCAGGTAGGGAGAAAGCTCTGGTGGACATTTTCTGAACACACTATCAGTGTTCATACTTGGGTCTCTGAGGAAGGCTTTGCCATCCCCAGTGTCTCCCAGGGAAGGCTTTGTCACTCCCATGGTACAGAGGTATTGGAGCCCTTGACATGGCCCGACCCATGTTAACACACATTCACTCAGGGCTTCCTCCACTGTCCACAATGTACTATACTCAATCTTAGCCAAAAGTCCAGAGAAGGCCGGGGTGATGGTGGCGCATGCCTTTAATCCCAGCACTCAGGAGGCAGGGCCAGGCGGATCTCTGTGAGTTTGAGGCCAGCCTGGTCTACAAAGCAAGTTCCAGGAAAGGCTCAAAGCTACACAGAGAAGCCCTGTCTCAAAAAAAACAAAAACAAACAAACAAAAAAGTCCAGAGAAGCCATTGAAGATATTTCTGTGACTTACTACAATTATTGATTTGCATATGCTGAACCATCTCTGCTTCTGTTGATGAAGACATTTTGATCACGATACAAGATCTTTTTATAATTATTGAATTTGGTTTGCTAGTTGTTTATTATTGTTTTTGAGACAAAGTTTCACTGTGTTGCCATGGCTGGCTAGCCTGGAACTTTTGCAGATATTTTACAGATAATTATTTTTGTACTAATTTTCATCAGGAAGATTGGCCTTTTGCTGTTATGTCCTTTTCTGGTTTTGTTATCAGACTAATCAATATTGGATCTATGCAACGAGCTTGACAGCAATCCTTCCATTTTTATTTATTTATTTATTTATTTGTTTGTTTGTTTATTTATTTATTTATTTATTTATTTATTTGGTTTTTCAGGACAGGGTTTCTCTGTGTCGTTTTGGTGCCTGGTGGTAGGTTTTTTGTTTTTTGTTTTTTTAAGGCCTGGTGGAATTTAGCTGTGAAAACATCTGGGCTCTATCTAGTTGTATGACTTCTAAAAAATTGCTACTTCAATTTCATTGTTTGTTATAAATCTGAGGTTGTTTCGATTTTCTCAGTTTAATTTGGGTAGCTTATATGTGTTTAGAAACCATTCTTTTAGATGTTCAGTTTAATGGAATATGTGTCTAAGTAGGTCATATTGATTTTCTAAATGCCATTTTTAGCTGTTGAAATGTTTCCCTTTTCATCTCTAATGTTAAGGATTTGGGTCTTTTTTCTCTCTTTTGGTGAATTTGGCCGAGTGTTTACTGATTTTGTTCATCTATCTATTGATTCTTTGTCTTGGTCCTTTTGATTCTATCTCATTTTCTACCCTAACGTCTACTGTTTCTACATGCTATTTTAGGGTTTAATTGTTCTTGTTTTTCTAAGACCTTGAGGCACATTATTAAGTTATTACCCAAGGTTTCTCTGATTTTTTAAATGTGAGTCTTTACATAGGTAAAGCTTCCCTCCTAGAAATGCGTTCGTTATATTCCCCCGCAGGTAACGCTATGTTACATTTTCATCCAATTCGAGGGATTTGTTAACTTCCCTCCCAGTTTCTTCAATGACCCATTCATCACTCAGACCTGATGAATTCATCACTCGGTCACTCATTTTCCCTGAGTTTGTGTTTTTTAGGACAGTTCTTTTCTGTACTGAATGAGATAGTTCATTCAAAGTGACAACATGCCTGTGTTTTGGTAAACTGTAGCAATTGTTTCCATTTGAGAACAACTAAATATCCTGGCAATGAATAAATGTTAAACTTTTTCAGGAGTTTTGTGTCTTTGAAAGTCTGATTAAAATATGACTGAACATTGTCAATGTTACTGAATTGCTGAATCACACTCATTAGACCTCTGAACAAAACCAAGGACTAAGTCTTCCAGACCTGAGTCTCCATTTCTTACAACATTGGTAATGAATGAAAAAAAGAAATAAAAGGAGAACATGACTGCTCCTAGGTATGGTGGAGGAGAAGGTTTATTGTAGATATGAGGGAGAGTATAGCCAGAAGCAGAGACATCTGGAAGAATCCAGAGTGAACATGACCCTGAGCAGGGCCATGTAGGAGAGGGGGAGGGGGGAAAAGGGAAAAGCCAGGAGACCAGGAAACCAAGAGGTCAGCAGGGTAAATAAAAAAAAATGGCATAGCCAAAATGGCTGGATTATATAGGGAAGGGCAGCCCAGCTCCTGGACTAGAGAGTTCAGGGTAGGGGGTGAGGTATGTCTGCCTTACCTTGTAACTGAGGGACTGAGGGATGGTGGGAGAACCTGGCAGCCAGGCCCCTTTGGTATGTTAAATAGGCACCTCAGCTGTTTGTCCTGGACTGAAGACCTAACAGACAGTGGAGTTTATTAAATATGTGAAAGGACATCACCCTGAGGTTGGTTTGTATGCACTCAGTGTCTTTTGTTGGTCTTCTAATTATTGTGGAGCACATGGAGATGAATTAGTAGTAAACAGGATTACTAGTGTGTTTAATGTTTTTCTTTGGTTTGGAGTTAAAAACATTCTTAACTATTGTCTACTTCCTCCCTTTTGTATGTGTGTGTGTGACAGAGACACAGACTCTGGGGACCCTCCATGATGAAACTCCAACAGTAAGTAACTCTGATATGCACGCTACCATTGTGCTTGGCTGTAGACTTCCTCCATGACACCCCTTTTTATGAGAAAGCTTTACCCTCCTTGGTTTCACATGCTGGCTTTCATGTGTTGACAATGGCAGGTCTGACCATATAGGCCTGTTACTGATGGAAGTAGGGTATGAGTGTGAGATTTCTGGCATATGCTAAGTGTAGAAAACCACCAAGAAGAAGTGAGCATTCATCTCTCGTTTCAAATGTCACTACTATGTGTCACTGTGGAAGGTTCTGTGACTCTCTTTTCAGGTTTTCCACTTCGATTTTGTTGTGGTTTTGAGACAAGATGTCACGTAGCCCAGGTTGGTCTTAAACTTATTATGTAGCTAAGGATAGTCTTGAACTCCCAATCTTCCAACTCCTTCTCCAAAGTGCTGGGATGCCCAGATTACATTTTGTAGTTTTTCTTTCTTTTTTTTTTTTTGGTTTTTTTGAGACAGGGTTTCCCTGTGTAGCGTTGGAGCCTTTCCTAGAACTCACTCTGTAGACCAGGCTGGCCTGGAACTCACAGAGATTCACCTGCCTCTGCCTCCTGAGTGCTGGGATTAAAGGTGTGTGCCACCACTGCCTGACTTTATATTTTGTAGTTTTTTAAATTCATTTTTATGTAACAAGACACCACTCAGGAGTGCCCAGAGGCAAGAATTTGCATTCTGAACTATGATGTACTGAACTAAACAGGGAAAAAACACACTAAAAAGCCAGCTAGCAGTAGCAACCCTAATGACTGGACATTGAGACTTCTCAGTGGGTAAAGGCACTTGCCACATAGCCCAACTACCCGAGTGTGACTCTTAGAACTCCTGGAGGAAGGAGAAGAACCAATTCCTGACAGTTGTCCTCTGGTCACCGTTGCTGTGCCGTGTACCATGGTGTGGATGTACACGTACGCACGTGCATGCACATACCAATAATGAATAGACAAGAATAATATAAACAACTCTATAGGACCGTGTCTAGAGGCCCACATTCATTTAATTCAATTCTTAATTTGTGTGCTCACAGTCAGTGCCTGGCATCTTGTGAGCTTGTCTCTCCCCCCTTGAGATAGAGAGCACATCTAAGAACTTCTGTTGCCTGCAAGTGCTTAACACAGGAATCCTGCTTTCACAGTCTAATGTGTAGTGATTAAGTGGATGATTTCACCTCTGAGATTTATTGCTTTCATTGTTTATGATTGTATTGTTTTTAAATGTAGTTTTTGTTTATTCTTAGATTATTTTGTACATGGATACAGTGCGTTTCAATAATACTCACTTCATCCCCCTCCAACTCCTCCTAGATCCCTCTCATGTCTCCTCCCAGGTTCATGTCTCTTCTTGTTCATAACATACTGAGTCTAATTAGTGCTTCCCATACATGCATGAGTATTTTTTTTTTGAAATAGGGTCTTGATATGTAGCCCAGGCTGACCTCAAATTTCCTACTCCCCAGTCTTAGCCTCCCGAGTGCTGAGATTATGGATGTTCACCACCATGACTGGTATATTTACTATTTTTGAAGGTAGAATGTGGACTTATATTTTAGAAATAGAAGGATGTTCTATGTGACTCCTTAGTATGAGAAATGAAGAAACAGCAGTAGTATTTACCACTGACTGAGCGTTCATTAAGAAACAGGCTTTGTACTAATTTTCTCAATAACTCCACAGGGTCACTGAGCTCTTGGGGATGTGAGATTTGAACCCAGGACTGTGTGGTTACAAAGTCCTGGCTCTTGCAACACTGCTTTTCTGTGTGAAGGGAGGTTTCCCTGAAAGACTTCAAATGTGGACCACTCTGAAACTCCCTTCCCCTGGACACACAATTTTGAAGCAGTAGGATTCCACTCTAAAGCCTCTGTAGGGATAGGGGCAGGTAGAATAAAGAGTGACTTCTACACCCACAGCACTGGAGGGAGTGTTTTATTTCCTTGCTAACTACACATATTAAGCTAACACATTTCATTCCTTTGGTGGTTGAGGCTACTCTAGAAGAAGACAGATCAAGGGGGGGGGGCCTTCATCATTCCTGCAATCCTGAGAGACCCTAAAAAAGAGTGGTCTTCCTCCTGAATCATGAGACTTGCTGAGCATATGACCAATTTCTGGACATCTCAAGCTTGACTCCTGTTTTCTTTCCCCCAGCAAATTTCCACATGGTCTGATGAAATGAAGGATTCTGGAGAAACCATCAGAACCGCTGTCTACATCGGAGTAGGAGTCTCTGCGGGGCTGGCCCTGGCACTTATCATTGGTGTTTTAATTCTTAAATGTAAGTTGCTGGACATTGCTTCTTTTTCTTTCTGATAAAGAACAGTTACTATAGGAACAAAGGCAAACCTAGATAGAAATACAACCTTTTAAGTAAACCCAAAGGTGGTTAGACAGGACACTCTTTGTCTCTCCAAACGTTGCCCGTTCTGGTAACTGGTAGTCATTCAAGGTTTCTAAGTGTCAGGCGGATACTATGCTAAATGTTTTACAGACATCTTACTCATCATCAGTTATAAACAAGGTAGTACCATTTCTTCCCAGGCTAGGGCAGAGGAAAGTAAAGCTTTGCTGAGAGCAGCTGAGTTCTCCAAGTTTCACTGTAAGCAAGGCACAAGACTAGACCTTCAAGTGCAGCAGACAACCAGAATTGGCTATCTTTGGATACGAAAACTAATCTTGGGGCTGATGGGATGGCTTAGTGGGTTAAGGTGCCTGTCATAAGCCTGATGCCCTGAGTTCTATCCCAGGGACCCACATGGTGGGAGAAGATAACAGATTTCTTCCCTCAGACTGTCCTCTGGTCTCTACATGTGAGCTGAAGCATTTGGGTACCTCCCCTCTTTCCCCCTCCCCTCATCTCTTCTCATCTCTGCTGTTCTCCCCTCTCTGTCTCTCTCTAATCAACTGCAAGAGCTACTCTATTTAAATTATAAATATGCCCATGCTTATTAGGAAACCCAACAACACAACCTCTCTCAGTGTGGGTTTCTATATTGCTTTCTCAGGCACCTCTCTTTAACATTGAACCATGCCTGGGATTCCAGAACTGGGTTTTCTCCTCACAGTGATCAGCATACTAGCTATTTGTCTTTATTTAAGTAGACAACTTGTGGTCTGGGCATGTGGTACAGGTGTTAAAGTACTTTTGTAGCATGCAGGAAACCATGAGCCCCATAAAAGTAGGTATGGTGGCATACTGTAAGTTTTATAATCCCAGAACTCTCTGGAGGTAGAAGCAGGAGGATCAGAAGTTCAAGGTCATCCCTCAGCTACACAGTGAGTTCCAGGCCAGGGGGGGCTGTCTCAGGGAAAAAGAAGTTTGGTTATTGTACTTGGAGACCATTGCCACATTAAAGATCCAAATGTTCTCATCAGCCCAAAGCCTTCCACTCTTTGATAGTTGTGATGTATTCTCTTTTCTTTGAGAGCAGAGAAGAAGGCATTGCACCAGAGTATAATGCACTATAACAGCCTTTCTCCTTAACACACAACATGGACTGTTTACATAGGGTCATCAGCCATCTAGGATTTTCACAAGAATGAAGGGAGTTCCTAAAATATAGAACTTCCATTGGTAAAGCTGGGACCATCTGAGAAAAACCAGGATGACTGCGAACTGAAGTTGCCAAGGACTTTAAGGAGGTTATAAAATATAATATAAAATATACTAGGTACATGGCAGGGCAACCATCATACTGACATATTAAGCAATATGTCCAAATTCATACAGTTAATTGATAAATATAGGGATTGAAATTTGCCGGGTGGCGGTGGCGCACGCCTTTAATTCCAGCACTTGGGAGGCAGAGCCAGGTGGATCTCTGTGAGTTTGAGGCTAGCCTGGTCTACAAAGCAAGTTCCAGGAAGGGCTCAAAGCTACACAGAAAAACCCTGTCCCGAAAAACCAAACCCAAAAAAAAGAAAGAAAGAAAGAAAAAGAAATTAATCTTACTTCTCCTGGTTGTTTTCTCCCACTTTTTGTAAATGAGTTTTTCCAAGAAAGAAACAAGCCCATATATACTCACATGAGCTTGTCCATAGATTGCAGTAAACACTGGGGACTGATCATTTGAACATGGAATCTAGAAGCCATTAAATGATGACAGAGAAATGATAACGTGTACTACTTTTTGAGTTCTTCCAAGACCTAGAAATTAGGGACTTCTGTAATTTATGTAAAAGGTAAGGAGGTAGGTGGATTTTCCTCCCCTTGGGATCCCACCCCATGTTGGGAGTTATTTCTCTCTTTTGCTTAATAAATCTATGCCAATTCTTGTCTTTAAAAGAGGCATAGGTGCAATCTAATGCACATATAACTGCTAACTTTGAATGCACACAGGTACCACATCTGTGGATTCAACCATATAGTGAACAATGATTGAAAATTATTTCTACTTAACATATATAGACTTCTTAATCCCCCAAAGAAGGCAGCAGCTATATTACTATAGCATTTATATCATGCTAGATGTTATAAGTCATCTAGGGATCATTTAAAGTATGGGGTAGGATGTGACAGGTATTAATGGTGTTTTATATAAGGAACTTGAGCACACTTGGATTTTGGTGTTTGCAGGAGTTCCTCAACCAACCACAGTGGATTTAGAAGGACAAGGGTTAACATAGAGAGTTGTTTTAAGGAATGAATCAAAATGTTCTGTTCAGTGTATAATTTTTTTCCTATGTTTTATGGATAGCAATCTGACAGATGAGGTGGCCTGTTCTTAAGTCACGACATTATAGCCACAAGCTGTCTGGGAAGTGCCCATCAGTCCTCTGCTTTCGAGTGGACTGTTTACTGACTTAGATGGCCACCCATGCTTCACTACTGCTTAACCTCCTTCAATCCTCTCCCAGCCAAGGAAATATCAAAGGTCTCTTCGCTGTGTCACATCTTCATCCTTTCATTTATGTTTTTCTTCTGAACTGCCAATCTCATGTCTGTCCTTAAAGTACCACAGATACAATTTTAGTCAGTTTCAAATTGCTTCCATTGTACTAATGGTCACGGATAGCTTTGTCTTTATTGTGGCTAGTCTTTCTGCAATAATGTCCCAAGTAGATTCCATACTTTATTCTAAAATGTCTTCTCTTGGCTTTGGAAACCCCATTCATTGTATTTGATTGATCAGTCTTCCCCATTATTTAGACATTTCCTCTTCTGCCTGGTGTTTAGCAGCTGAAGTTCCTCAGGATTTGGCCTTTTTCTCTTTGCAAACCTTCTACTTTATAACATATATTCCATGGACTTACATATTCTCTTTAATCTTGTCAACTCTTAAAATGATGAATCAGCTTGTCTCTCTGTCTAGTTGATAGCTCCACTTTGAAGTTCATATATTCATATGTGATAAACAAGACTCCTGCTTCCATATCCACCCACAGGACCCAACTGTCAGGTCCTGGACATCTCCATCATTTCACTGTCTATCTATGTGGTTGTTTCTGCCAGAAATGTAGAAGTCATCCCAGAATCCTCTCTTTTCAACATCTTAATATGTAATCAACTCCAGTCGCAGTCTCTGCACAAAATATATCTAAGATTGCTTCATTATTCTGGATCTTGCTTGGTGATTTGTTATTTATTCTCCTTCTAATCAGTTCTTTACACAGTATCCAGGTCAGATCATACTGTCATTCAATGACATCCTACAGGTCTTCCTGTCTCATACCATCTCAATTCTCTTTGTTGCTGTTTAGTTGGTTTGTTTTGTTGACCTCTTGATCCTCCTACTTCCACATCCCAAGGGCTGGGATTGCAGGATAATAACTGAAAAGGTCTTTGGGACCCAGCCTCAGTTTACATCTCAGATTTTATTGGGGGTAACTCTCTTGTTCTAGTCTTGGTTTTGGTTTTGACACCAACTCAGATCTTTGCCGAGGAGTCTCTGTTCCTGTAATATTTCCCCTAGTTCTTGACACAGGTGACTCATTCTTTTCTTTAGAGCAGACCTCAAAAGTCATGTCCTAACGTCCTACCCTAACCATCTCTAGTTTGGGTTTAATATGGTGCTGGTTTCGTTTTATAATTCAGTGCAATTTGAAATCATTTTTTCTGTCCTTCCTTTCCTCCATCCCTTCCTCCACTCTTCCTTCCCTCCTTCCTTTTTTCCTCACTAGGATACACGCTTCATGGAGTCAGAGCTCACAACTCCCTGTGTGTGCCCTTGGTGCCTACCAAACTGCAATACACACAGGACAATCCCCATAATATTCGCTAAGTAAGAGCTCCACTTTTCTTTTATTATTACTTTTAACATAGTCCTAAGACATCACTGGTAGGTTGATTTCATTTGTTCTAAAGCAAGACCAAATTTCACCAAGCCACTCTCATCTCCAATCAGTCCATTTTATTTCTTGTTTCAAATTATCTTAGAAAAGCATTAATTGGTTTTTCTTCCACCTTTATCTAGGGTATTCTTATAAGAAAAAGAAGTTACAGACTTCAAGGTAAGAACAATGGAAGAAGGAAAAGGGCATTGGGGACCTCTACTATCATATGATTTTATTCTTCCTCTGAGAAGTTCTTACTTGGAGCTTTGAAATCTTAGGTTAGTCTTCTTTTGTTTGGGAAATGAAAATCCAACAGTTGCCCTCCTGAACATTGAGCTTCCTCAGGTCTAAAGTTGAGGTGTATAGTTTGCCTTCTTATTACTAACAAATACTTATTTATCTCTAATATTCAGGGAACTGAACCTTTAACTGAATGAGTGTTTACTATTTTCATGATATTACCAAAATGAGAAAAAATGAGAGAGAGAAAACAAAAACAAAACAAAGCAAAAAAAACTCCCAAGCCACTATGGATAGTCAGAGTGTTTATAGCCCTCCTTAGGCATTACTACTATGGCAGTGTGTTATGATGACCTGGGCACTCATCTTGCTGATATAGGACATACCTAAAGCAAATGAATCAGGATCTTGGGGGACGGAGCTTGAGGTAATTGTTCTCAAAGCTCTTCAGGTGATCCTCATCATTACTCCACTTCTGACTGTACACACACACACACACACACACACACACACACACACACACACACACACACAACCCTCTCTCCCAGATTTTCTTATTTCAGTAAAAGTCAATACATGAAAAATTGCAAAATTTCAAGGGAAAATATGATCATGTGCTGAATATGAGTCATCTCTTATTTCAGAATCAATAAAATCCAGAATATTCCAAAGACAAAGTAATATAAAGTAAAAAAAATCATATAACTCCAAATACAGTATTTAATTATCAGTACCATTATTCTTCATTAGAAGTGAAACTGGAAGCATGGTATTCATAGGTAATGCTGATAGGCATCAATTTACTGTTTGTGAAATGACGTGCTCAATATTTAGCTCTACTTATAACTATAAACCTATAGTGAACTGAGAACTAGAATGCTCTGTTTGACTACTGTAACTCCAGCACAGTGTGTGATGAATACCAATGATCAGCTCTAATGAATGAATGATCCAGTGCTCCTCACAGCAGCCCTACTACAGGGCTCTCACTATTCCCGTTTCTAGAGTTGAGAAAACTGAGGCACAAGGTTTACTAAGGTATGGCATCTGTGGATGTACATATTTTGTTCACTGTTGTCGTCTACAGATGCACAGGACAATGTGTAACTGTCTTGAATTAAAAATTATATATATGAAAATAGATGAAAGATTATTTGGGAAGAGGACGAGGGGTTCAAGAGGTGAAGATGAGGTGTGTGAATACAGGAAGAGTATAGAATATATAGTTATGAAAAGGTTGTCATGAAACCCATATTTTATAAGATAGTACTAAAAACCATTTAAAACCCCAACCAAATGAGCAACCAACCACAAACAAACAAACAAACAAACAAAACTAAACAAGTTCACCCAAGTCATGATGTTGGGAAGAAACACAGAATTCCAACTCAAATCTGATTGTGTCTGTAACACATTCACACTTTTCTCTTTGTTTTCAAACTGTTGGAGCTTTCAGAGGATTGAAACAACAGTACAAGGGACGTTAAAACACTTGGCCTTCAACTCCTATTTGACACTTGGAACAGCTGTGCTGTCCAGTTCTCAGTAAGCACAGGGCTTCCTCTCAACCACCTGTAAGTAGGTTGCAGGCATCTTGACAAATCTCAGAGACTTCAGCCTACAACTCCTAAGAACAGGGAATATGGTTTACATACCTAGGAAAATTAAGAGTAATTACATGTCCTTAATTGTTCCCCAAATTACCACCTGGGTTTCTTTCAGTGAGCATCCAGGGAAGGGTCATGAGTGTCAGCTGGCTACTGTCATCAGTGAAGACTGCTCTTTAACACTGTTCTCTGTTGTCTGGGGAATTCTCCTATCAACTCCAGCATTATATTTTCACAGCCTCATCACACTGGCCAACCTCCCTCCTGTGGGGTTATCGAATGCAGGAGCAGGCAGAAATCGATCAGAGGAAAATGTCTATACCATCGAGGAGAACATATATGAAACGGAGAATTCCAATGAGTACTACTGCTACGTCAGCGGTGGGCAGCCGTCCTGACCACCTCTGGGCTGTCACTTCTTAAGGCTCACCTCCATTTTAGACTTTGGTATCTTCCTTTTTGAAAACTATCAGATATGTCACCTGAAAAGTTTTGGAGGTTCTGTCCACGGCCACCGAGAAAAGTGTTCCTGTTTTCTAGGGATAATTAGCTCACAAGGGGATTCGACTATAACCTATGCTATGTTGAAATGCACCATAACCTCCGAGTTCCAGGGAAAGAATCTCCCAACCCAGAGACATGGATGTTGAAGCTCACATGTGCCTCGATACATTAGGTATGCTTAGTCTGAGATCTCTGGAGCACCTGGACATTCCGGATTGTGGTGTGTATACAGAGCTCCTAAACAGATATGGGGAAGATTAGGCTAAGATAGATAGGTGCAGGTCTTTGTTGATGCAGGAAATCTAAAGTGGCCACTGGTTTTTCTAGAGATTTCTGACCTTGAAAAAATAAAGAAAGAGTCAGGTGGTACATGCCTATAATTACATAACTTGGGAGGCTGATGAAGGAAGATTGTGAGTTCAAGGCAACCCTGGGCTGCGATGGTGAGACTTGGTCTTAAAAACAAAAGAGGAAAAAAACCCCAAGCAAACACACCAGGAAGGTCAGAGGGTAAAGCGCTTGTTGTGCAAGCATGAGGAACCTGAGTTTGATCCCCAGAACTCACATGGACATGCTAGTGTGTGCTTGTAAACTCAGAGATGAGTGGGTGAGGACAAAGCAGATCCCTGGGGCTTGCTTGCCTAGTTGTTGAGTTCCAAGTCACTGAGAGCCCCTGTCTCAAAATAAAATGGACTGTGTTCCTGAGGAAAGACAATGGATGTTGTTCTCTGGTCTCCACACACGTATGTGAACATACCTTCACACACACATATGTGGTCACACATGAAAGAAATAAAGGAAGGAAGGATCAGAATAGGCCTATACAGTAGTGAAGGTTCTCTCTGGGCCTGCTGCCTCTGTGTAATGTGTATCTCTACATGACTGTCCTCTGCCTCAGTTAAGACTACTTCTGAGTGGGGGCATGGTGGTGCAGACCTGTAATTAACTGCAGCACTCAGAAGGCTGAAGCAGGAGCATGGAGAGTTTATGAGCATTCTGTGCTGCACAGTCAGACCCTCTTTTACAAAAAGAAAATGTCCCTCATTTGCCTGTGACTGTGAAAGGAAACTCTCTTTGCCAAAGTCCAACCTTGCCTGTTGTGCTCAAAGGGAACTGCCTCTGATGACTTCTCCATTCACAGAGGAAGCTGGAGCTGTGTTTTCCACAGAAGAAGAACCAGTGACTGGGACACACATTTTGTTTCCTGATTGAAAGAAGACAGTGACCTAGCAGCAGTCTGTATAATCAGCCTTAGATCCTTTGGTATAAGGACAGTGGTCACAAAACCAAATGTCCAAGCTGGTGGACATCAATTTTGTCTCACTTAAGACTGTCTGCTCAGTGCCTTGGTCTGTGTTGGTTCCTGTATGTAACAGAACCTAATTAAACAGCCCAGAGTGAAAAAATTAAATGAGCAGAAAGATAGCTTTGTCATAGACTTCTGCATTGGGGAGCTCCTGTGTAGATCAGAAGACATTTATCAGTGAGGACACAGGCATCTGTCTGTTTGTGCAAGGTTTTCTTGTATGAATTTGGTGTTTAGGCTGCATCTAGCTAGTTATGATAGGTACTGGCTTTCTTAGGTGGGTATGGAAGGGAGACCAGATGGCAAAAATCAATTAGAGGTAACGGTTCTCATGTAGGTGAGGAAACTAGTCACAAATGTTTGAAAGTTTTAAGACTGTACTGGGAAGGACTTTGAGCATATTTAAACTGGATCAATGGTTTCCTCCATCAGCGTTCTTATTGGACAAGGTCTTTAAGCAAAAGCATGCATACAAAGATGATCACTGTGTTGGTATTTGCTGAGGACTTTTTACATCAGTGGGGGATGGTTGATGACATGGTATGACAGTTTCTATCGATTGCTAACTAGACAGGATCTAAAATCATCTTGAAGATGAATCTCCAAGTCTGTGAGGCATTTTCTAGATTATGTTAGTTGAGGTGGGAACCCACTCTAATGTGGGCGGGGCCGTTCCATGGGCTGGTGTCCTGAACTGCATGAAAAGAGAAAGCAGGTTTAGCACTGACATCCATCTCTTTCTGCTTCCTGACTGCCATTGCAATGTGACCGGCACATCCTTGTGCCTACTCTCATGTCTCCCCACCACCATGGACCATGTCCTCTTGACTTATAAGTCAGAATAAACTCTTCCCTTTTAAAGAGGCTTTCGTCAGGGATTTTGACATAGCAACTGGAAAACTAACTAATGCACATGGTATGGAGTCTAACCATACACGTGATTAAATAGAACCTGGTAGCTTTGCAGAGAGCTTGTACTTTTTTGGGTTTTGGTTTTTGAGATAAGGGCTCATATATCCCAGGCTGACCTTGAACTCACCAGGATGGCCCTGAACTCCTAATCTTCCTGCCTTTTCTTCCTGAGTTCTGTGTCTACCTTGCCCAGTGACAAACACTTTCAAGCAGTTGCAATGTGCAGTCACTTGGTACTGGGACAATAGAATGAATAACATTTCTAGCCTGTGAAATGTCTGGTTGATCTGACAGGAGAAAGGATCATATCCATTCATTCAGGAGATCTTTATTAGTAACTACTTCCTGCTTGACACTGTTTAGTCTCTAAGAACAACAGAAAACACAGCCAAAATCTCTGCTACAGAGTATGTACTGTTGTCTGAAGATAATGTTACATTTTTAAGTCAAAAAAGAATGTTCTAGACTGTATATTTCTCTGCTTAGCATATGGAAAAAATACCCAAATCAGTAATTATACCACAGGGTATTTCAGTTTTTTCTTTTACATACTTATTAAAATTTGATTTTTTTGTATTACTTTGTTTATAAAAGTTAAATTAAGCATTATAATAATGTTCTCCTGTTTCCTGTCCTCATCAAAGAAAATAGGTCAAGGCCAGGGGCAGCAGAAGGTTGCTACAAGCTGGAATTAGAACCCTTGGTTTTAGACCTGTAGTCATTTAAAATCAAGTATTTGGGATGGAGTTGGTGGGTGGTACAGAAGAAAATGAGGGGGCCAAAGGAGATAGTATAAGGGACCTAGGAAAGGGCAAAGAGGAGCTTAAAGCCTTCGAAAGGAAGAGGGTGGAGAGATGGCCCAGTGTTTAAGAGTGGTTGCTGTGCAGTCATGAGGACTGGAGATTAGAACTCAGCACCTGTGAATAAGACAGGAGTCTACTGCATGCCCAGAACCCTACTGGGGAGGGCCAGAGACAAGAGGATGGCTGGGGCTTCCTGGCTTCCAAGCCAGCAGAGAAATAGGAGAATGGCTGATTATACTGTGTGATAGTTTATATTGATGCTAACTTGACAGGGTCTAAGATAATCTTGGAGACAAATCTCTGGCTGTGTCTGTGAGGTGTTTTCTAGTTTGGATTAATTGAGGTGGAAGACCTACCCTAAACGTGAGTGAGACCATTCCATGTGCTGGTGTTCAGGGAGAGATGCTGCATCATGGAAATAGTAGAGCACACGTGATTCGCCCCTTCTAGGCTTAGTATATGTGCCTGTAGGCACATGCACTACATACACATGTGTGTGTGTGCACACCCACACCACCACACAACCACAACCACACCACAAATAAAGCTTTAAAAATGTAACACAAAATCCTATTCACAGTAATATGAAAAAATAAAATAAATAAATATATAGAAATAAATGAGAGAGAGAGAGAGAGAGAGAGAGAGAGAGAGAGAGAGAGAGAGAGAGCAGCCAAATTAAAAATGAATAGAAAGTAACACACACACATAAGGAAAAAAAGCTGATGAAATGATTCAGTGCAAGCCTAATTACTTGAGTTGGATCCCCAAGCCTCTGTCTACTTGACTTTGATTCCTGAAATCCATGGTGAAAGAAGAGAATGGACTCCTGAAAGTTGTCCTCTGACCTCTGCATTTATACTGTAGCATTCATGAGCCTAAGCTCACACATACTCATCATATACACACAATCATAATAAGTTAAATAAACATTTTTTTAAAAGTTCAAAGCTTACAGCAAGTTCAAGCCTGTCTAGGATGCATGAGGTCTTATCTCAAAATAAAAACAAAAATAAAACAAAAACAAGAAATCAAAGGCTGGCGAGATGTCTCAGCAGTTAAACACATTTGTTCTATAAGTATGAAGGCTGGAGTTCAGAACCCAGCATCCAGGTAACAAGCTGAGTGTCTTGTACATGTCTATAACCCCATCTCTAAGGTGGTTGTGTGTGTGTGTGTGTGTGTGTGTGTGTGTGTGTGTGTGTGTGTGTGTGTGTAGCAAATTTGAGACCCAAATTCTTGGAAAGACCCTGCCTCAAAAGAACAAGTGGAGAGGGGTAGAGATAGTCACCCAAAGATGTCTTCTAGCCTTCACTCATGTGCATAGACACAATCACCACACATGAGCTGGTGCACACACACACACACACACACACACACACACACACACACACACACACAATACACACACACACCAATAAACAAACAAACAGACAAATAATTTTAAAAATCAAGGAGGTTGTAGCCCAGTTGGTACTTGCTGACTATGCACGAACCCTGTGCTGAGTGCCAGCACTGCATTATGGGAGATGGTGGAGCTCTTCTGGATCCCAGCATAAAGGTGGAGGCCAGAAGATGAGACACTCAAGGTTATCCTTTGTATGAAGAAAGATCAGAACTAGCCTGGGCTACATGAGACTGTCTCAGAGAAAGAGAGAGAGAGAGATTGAATGTGTAGCTTGCCCTTACAAGTGCATAGGCATTTCCTATTAAACCACACAGGTTCTGAGAAGGGAGGTTTCCCTGCCCATGATTTACAGATTTGCAATTTCCAAGACAGAAGTTGTAAGCTGTTGGACAGTTCTCCTGGTAACAGCAAGTCAACTGATATGAATCATCCTCCCCCTTTAAAATAAATATAGCATATGCTTGTGGAAATAGCTTGTTGAGATTTATGAAAACACTATACAACTTATAATAGTTTCATTTCTAAGCTTCTGACTTGAGTTCGAGAAATGTAGTCATTGTATAATTCCACTTCCAGCAACATCCAACATCGCTGTCAAACAAAAATAAGATTTGGAGCTCAAATGGCCCTTGTGCCTACTCCCAAAGGTGATCTATTGACTTACAGAAATAGAGCAGAACCCAGCTATATCCCCAGATTTTTAGGCAAATGGTCTGGATCCTTCTGCGGAGCGCTAGAGTAGGCGTTCTGAGATCCACCATGGTTCTGGGTTTCAGTTGAGAAGTAAGGGGGAGCAGGGGGAAGGTGACCATTTTATCTAGGGGTCCTCAAGGCTGAGGAAGGCTTAGGTTTCAGTTGCTTTTCAGTGGGAGACCTGTGCAAAGAGGAAGTGTGAGCCAGAAGTGTTTCTCTGTGTCCTGTGTTAGCCGGTTCCTCTGTGTCCTGTGTTAGCTGTGTCTACTGCTGTTTTAAATAAATGTCACTTAGGCTAGCGAAATGGCTCAGCGGGTAAAAGCATGTTGACTAAGCCAGATGGCTTGAGTTTGATCCCAGGGGTCCCTGTGGAGGTAGGAGAGGATGGAGTGTCCCAAGCTGTGCTGATCTCCACATGTGCCCTGTGGCACACACACAGAATATATAAATAAATAAATGTAATAAAAAAATAAAGGATGTTTCAAGTCACTTATTTCCTCTGTAGTCAATCTCTTGAAATTTGTATCCTAATCTCTTCTGCTTATATGATTTTTCTTCTTCCAGAAAAAACAATGAGTTTTTTTTTAAATGGGTTATTTAACTATTCATGTGCAGTAATGAGGCAGTGGGTTAAAGCTGCTCATTATTTTAACATGATATTGGTAGGTGTGTCACCTTGGAATTATTTTATTAGGGCTTTATATTATAAATTGGCAAGGTGTCGTTTGTAATTTCTACCTGTTGTTGTTTGAACTTCGATGTTCTGTTTTCTTTTTCTTTTTTGGTTTGCTTGATTTTTTGACACAAGTTCTTACTGTGTAGACTAGGCTGGCCTGCAATTTGCTATGTGGTCCAGTTGGACCTCAAATCTGAGGTAATCCTGCTTCCTCTGCCTCCTGAGTGCTGGGATGAGAGGCAGGCACCACCACGCTAGACCTCATTGATTTTAAACCTAGATCGTGTCAATCCCTCCCGGTCTCTGCCTTCCCCCCTAGAGCCCCCCTGTTCTCCCAAGGAGTGATCCTTCGCGTTGCTTTGTGCTTCTAGACCAGCACTGCCCGGTAGATGCACAACGGTAGGGGCTGCATAAGAGATTTTTTGATGTTCTACCACCGTGTTTTACACGCAGATGTTTTTTTTGGTTCAGCTGTGACACAACCAAATACCTATGCAGTTCTGTGAGTACAGCTCAGCTGTACCTGCCTATTATGTGGCTAGGCTGACCTTGAACTCAGAATGTAGTGGAAGATGACTTTGAATTATTGCTCTTCCTACCTCCACCTCCATTGTTGTGGTCCCAGCTGTGTACCACCCTAACGGGCTATAACAGTTTCCCCATACCAAAACTGACTAGATCCTAGCTGAACCCTCCTGACCTGGAGTTGACTGAGCTGTGGTGGAAGGAAGGCTCCAGTGCTGAGGGTGAGGGGCTTCAAGACCTGTCTGCTCCAGGCCTCAGTGAAGTTCTCTGCAGTTTTCACTGTTCCTTCCAACAAGGACATCTACCATCCTCCTCAGGCTAAAAGTTCCCCATATACGTGCAGCAGCCTCACCATCCTGGAAGTTCAGGTAAAGACTCTGAAATCTGACATTTCACACTCTTCTAGCTGCTTCTCTCCAGTCAAGGTGTCACAAGGACCCTCTGGGCAGGGCAGTCTGCTTGAAGCTAATTGCTTTACAGTAGCCTGGGAACATACAGATCTCTTTGGATTGTTTATTTCCTTGTTGCTGTTGTTCAACTTCTTATCCTGAAATAATTTGGATCTGCAGCAACATCCAAAGTGTCCCTGTAATCATCCATTTCCCTCTAATGTCAGCATCGTACACACCATGGAACCTTGATCAATATGAAAGAGAGTAGCATGATACTGTGAGCCATGTTCCTTACTGGGAGTCGTGAGATTGGTTCCTCAAGTTTGAATGCTTTAGCCAGGTGTGGTTGCACATGACTGCAATTCTGGCACTAGGCAGGGGGATGACTGCAATTCTGGCACTAGGCAGGGGGATGACAGGAATTCTGGCACTAAGCAGGGGAGATGACAGGAATTCTGGCACTAGGCAAGGGGATGACAACAATTCTGGCCCTAGGCAGGGGGGTTGCTATTGTGAGATCAGACTGATCTATATAACAAAAAGACCCTGTCTCAAAAAACAAAACAGTAACAACAAAATAATGGTAGTAATATAGCTCAGTGGTATACATACTTAAATAAATAGCATGCAAAGTCTATGCTAGTCTATACTGAAATATTAAAAGATGATAGTTACAAAATATAGTGGAAAATACAAACATGGTGGTGTATACTTGAAATGTAGCACCCTAGACCTGGAGCCAGGAGGTTCAAGAGTCTAAAAAAAAAAAAAACTTCAGCTACCTGGATTCTTGAGGTTCCTAGGCTACATGAGCTCTCATCTCAAAACAAATAAGGAAAAAACTCAGGGAAGCAAACATCAAAAAGCGTAGTTTATGTTTACACTGAAATCCCCCCATTCTCTGTTCTTCCCATTAACCCCTCTCACTCCCCAGGAGTCCTCTGTGTTACTGCTCTGTACTTCTAAACCAGCACTGTCCAGTACTAATACAGTAAGGACTGCATAGCATTTTAAATTTTCTACCACAGTATTAGAAAGAAACGGGTGACAGGGCTTGAGAGATGGCTCAGCAGTTAGACGTTCTTCTTGCACAATGTCAAAGGTCACATTGAGCATCCTAGCCCCCACATAAGAAGACACCACCCCAAGAACACCTGAATCCACACTCTGGAGCTGATACTTGGAAGAGACAAGGGAATTGTTCTACTTTTATGGCTTCCAGTTTACTGAGAAAACATGAGACCCAAGTTCACGGAGAGATCCTGACTCAGAGGAATAGGCAGAGCAATACAAGAGGACACCAGATACCGTCTTCTGGTCTGTGTGTCCATGTACACACACCCACATGAACACGTAAGTGCCTACACAAACACACCAATAAAGAAAGCAATGAATGAATAAATACATGCAATTTAAAAATAGAAATAGGTGATGTTAATTTTAAGGGTTTTCTTTTATTTCACTCAATGCACTGAAAAAAATCTATCTTTTCATCTCAATATGGAACAGATTTTTAAAAAGTCACTAGGGAGTGTTCACACTCTTTCATTGTAAGTCTTACTGTTGTGCCCACGTCGCAAGACCCCCAAGCAAGACCACCACAGAGCCAATATCCGATGCAAAACACAAATGGGTTTATTGATAACAAGCAAGCTCGGGCTTGGTCCGAGTCTAACATCCAACACAGCAGGTGGAGGAGGACGGCCCCAAGCACTCACTTTAAGGGGTTTATATAGGAAAGGTTTACATGCAGCTTGGGATTGGATGAGGGGGCTAAGGGTGAGGCAGTTCTTTGAAGTTACAGTTACTGGCTGAACTATAAGCATGAGGTTACTGATGGCTAACAGGATTCAGGGTATTTATAGATACAAAAATTTTTACTCCCTATGTCCTGCTTTTGTTGAACCCAGAATATATACATTCAGATTTATTGTTCCAGTTCTACTCTTCTCTGAGTTCAACTTCTGGTCAATTGAGCCCATTACTCCTCATATCTTGCTTTGCCAAGTCCAGGATACATAGATTTATTGTCCCAGCCTTGTAAGTTCAATTTCCAGTCACTTCTAAAACTGCTAGTCAGCAAATACCTTTGGAGGAGGGGAGGGGGAAGCGTCTCTCAAGATGGCTACTGATTTTTCCCTTTCATTACAAATTCAGTGTGCAATTTACATTTATAACTTATCTCAGCCCTGACCGGCCACATCACAGGAGCTCATGTGGGGCTAGGGGATACTTCCTGTGACCTGCAGCACATCTCCCATAGGTCTTTGTTTATCTGTCTACCCACAAATGATTACATATGGTAACTTTGCAATTTTCTTCTTGGATAGCACACTTTATCTAGGTGAGTGTGTAGTTTAGGTGGAACAAATGTATGTGTTTTATTAAACCATTTCTCTATACACAGATTTTTTTCTGTTTCAAATATGGTTGAAAGGAGTATGCATTATACGAAAGCCTATATTCATATAAATGCTGTTGAGGATTAGAGTTGTAGGGTGAAGTTGGCTTGTCAAAGAACGTGATACTTTAAAAAATACTATAACTATGAAACAATAACAGTTTAAACAAATATAGCAATATGTATCTATATCTATCTATCTATCATCTATCTATCTATCAATCATCTATCAACTATCTGTCATCTGCTTCAAGTAATCATCTTAGAAAACAAACAAAAATTTCGGGAGAGCATCTTCCATTCCCTATACTGTCCCTGAAGTCTTTTTGTAGTCATTGATGACCTTGAACTTCTGATCTTTCTGCCTCTACTTCCCAAGTGCTGGGAATTGCAGGTGTGCACTGCCATGCTAGGTTTTGAAGCCAGGGCTTGGTCCATGCTGGACACTCCAGTGAGTTACACTCCAGTTCCTAAAAACCTAGATTTTTATCTCGACATGGTCCTTCCCATTTGGGTTTTGCTTTTTAAATTTGGCTGAAGAATCCAATTGAAGTGGGTGTGAGGGTGCACACCTGCAATCAAGCAGTCAGGAGGCTGGTGCATGAGGAGCAGAGCTGCAGACCAAACAAAGCAGATCAGAACCAGATTAAGCAAAGCACAGAGGCCAAGCAATTCTCATGAGGTTTCTGTTGGAAACCCAGTGATTTTTATGCTTATTCACCTCTCGCCTTTCCTCCCCCTCTCTTCTAGGAATCAGTGTCCTAACTTCCAGTTATCTTCTACTCCACCCTTGCTCTCATAATACTCCATACTCGTCACATGGCAGACTATGTATTCCAGCTTTCTCTAAGATTACCAGTAGGATTCACCTGCTCTGCTGCTGAACACCTTTCAGTCATTGCCTGGAGGGACTGCCTTTCTCCTGCCTTTGTCAACTCCTCCTCATCCTCTCTGTTTCAACCACACTGGCTGACTTCCTGTCTGCTTCTAGGACAGCTCGAGTTCTGCTCTCTGCACCTATTCCATGCCTGTTCCCTTTTTTAGGATCCTTCTCTCTGATGGTCTGAAGACCTGCCTCGTATCTTTCACTTTCCATCTTAAATTTGTTGTCTATAGCAACAATCTGTTTATCCCTAGTCCAGTTTATTTCTTGAGTAGCTTATTATAATCTACCCCTCATACCAGAATTAGTCACTAAATAGCATGCCATAGCTTAGGAGCCCACACAATGCTTGACTGGTAAAATCAGGGTCTGTGCTGGGATGGGAAGGATGAGCACAGGCCTGCTGCATTGCAAACCCAAGCTGTGCACCACAGATAGGAAGAGACATGAGATTTTCCCTCTAGGAAGTCAGAACGCAGCAGGGAATTCAAGTCCCCAGCAAGGGATTGCAGCAAAACCCAGTGAGCAAGGAGCAGCCCTGCTGCCACTACATTCTGAGGGACACAGGGAGAAGTTCTTGACCTTGTCCTCCTTTTCCCTTTTCTCTGGAAA